TAGGCCAGGAGAGTAACAAATTTTTGCCTCTTATTTAGGCGTTCCCTCACTTTGTTTTAGGCAAGAAGGGCGCATATTCACTTCGGACCCCCCTGTCAACGATACGTTCGTGAAATACACATAGTGATCACCTTTGGCTGTAAGAGCCCGGCTTATGAACTAAGTCAGTGACCTTGCTTTTTGTATCGTTTCCCAAGACATGGCTTAACTACAACATAAGCAAGAATTCACCTCGTAGGCTTCATCTTTCACAAACTCTTCCAGACTCTCTGAAAAAAACCGAAAGCAAATATGAAACTACTAATTAAAAATGTGATCCAGATAGAACCGTTTCTATATTATGGTCTAATCACTCAACTCTGATTTTTCTAGCCAGCACCACATTCAAAACTGCAGGTAAGGGAGACCTCAGTGTCGCGCGGTTTTGTCAAGTTTGCTTCTTGCTTGCGACATAACAATAAACGTAGACAACGACACAGAGAAATAAAGGTACTGAAGTCTTTTGTGTGAACGTTCTTTGCTTGTTCCGTTTAAGCTTTGTGGTTTGTTGAAGTATATTCATACATAATCATACATCACTCACTACAACAAAATTTCTGTTGGACTATATACAGTGTTTGTAATCAGCCGATAAGAATGGCTAAATAGGGCTATTAGACACTACCCAGCTATCCAATTTGAGAAATAGCCAATGGCCATTAAACTATTATTGGATGAGGTTTTTGTGATATCCGGAATAATCAAGGTCGAAGTAGGGGTAGTCTCCCCCGCAGCCGTTTTTTGGGATGTCACGCAACGCTCTCCCCGTTTCTTTGGGGGAGCGTTGCGTGACATCCAAAAAACGGCTGCGGAGGAGACTAAGGTAGGGGTTATCAGTCGAAGCCACAAAAACGGAATCTAATATTTGTCTTTTTTTTTTTTACATTGAACTAAAAACAAAATGAAGTCGTGTTTTTGCTTCTTCACTTATCGGCAAGCAACACAAAGCGCGCGATACCCATAGAAATCATGCACCGCGGTCATACGTGACATGATTATCCGTGACCTTGAGTGTCCTTGAGATGATTATTGCATAATCTACAGCTAGATGACATCACAGACGCTGATTTCGAAAATTCACTGTACGCTTTCGGCCAATCAGAAAAAAGATAGTGAGTTAAATGTATAATAATAAATATCAATGGCCGTTGAAAAGAGATTTTAACCTTATAAATTCAAGGCGGAAACTTACCATAGACTTCGAGCCTGGCTTTGGGATAGAGCTCCTAAACACAACAACGCAAAAAAGAAAATTAGCATAGATCATGATGAAGACAGTGAAGGAAAATATGTATTTGTGAATGTCTTGTGTAAACGTACCTTTTGCTCTGTCATCCACTTATTAAATGGACAAATGGAATCCAGTTTGGCTTTAGGCCCCTTAATCTTTGAAGAGAATTGAAAGAGGATTATTTACTGAAATGTACTTCTGTAAACTTAAGGTATGCATCAATGCAGCGAGTCCAGAACGTGAAAAATATAAGTCAGCAGAAGATAAACTGACTGATGGCAAATCCAGTCTGTTGTTATAAGGACAATATAATTGGCCAGCGTTGATGGTCGTTATAGTTGTGGTAATTAGTTAAAACTCTCCTTAAAACAGAGTTTGAGTGCGAGAATATTCAATTGTTGCTCATAAGTAAAGATCTGTAGTTAGACACTTCCGAATTTGGTTTACTCATATCCGAATTCCTATCGCGCCAAACAAATAAAGAATTAGTTGAATTATTCTTAAGAAAACGTAGACTACGAGTAGGCCCTCTTTCGCTTTGTCCGTCGAACGAAACCGTAAATAAATCGCGAGGAAAAAATGGCCGAGCGAAATGCTGGGGGCGAGAAGCGTGCGCACTTCCTGCCCCAGGATTTCAACTCTCTTAGGGACGTACCATTAGAAAAGTTGTGGGGCCGCTTACTTTTCCAGCTTGCAGGAATTTTTTTCACGTCCACCACACCAATTTGACGTAATCTCAATTTTGACACGCGCGACAATCTGATTGCCTGGAACAGGCTTCAAACAAATATTTTTACAGCTCTCACACAGTCGTTTTGCTTTACTATCAAAATTATACTCCGGGGGAAACATAGCCAAGTATCAAACACATTTAGGGTAATTCCATCGAAATAGATCACACTACAGATTTTCTTTCAAACTTAAGTTGTTGACTGCTTATTTCAAGAGATCAAGAATTTTGAAATATAAAAGAGGGTCCCGGTATTCGTTTAGGAACAATAGGACCGTCAATAAACCCCATAATTCCTTAAATTGTCTGCTTTCAGAAACGTTTATATTTGAGCCATCCACTTTACGCTTAGTGAGAACAGAAAAAAAGGAAGAAAGTTAAGTGAGAAAAACATTAATAGATGTATTGCATCAATGTTAAGGAGCAATTTGATGTGCGTATCATGATAAAGGTATCTATTTTCAGTCGACAGGGATTCAATATGTTCCAAGCATACAGTGTTCTTGAGAGCACATATTATCTTTTCCGAACACTAGCTATGACCTCATTTTCAGTGATAGATTTTTACTCTGCAATAGAAATTGGTCTATATTCACTGTATAGAAAGAAGATGATTGCTACATTCGAACTAAATAAAACAATCGTTGGGTCCCGGTACTCTTTTCTGAGAAAAAAAAAGATGATTTGCCTCTCGAAGCCATGCGTTTAGCAAAAGCCACCATTTTGTATGTGTTGTGTATATGCATGCGCTCGTGAGCGCGCGCTAATGACGCGAAAATCGTGCGCAGTAAGAAAACGCAATGCAATTCTGAGGAATAACCTTAAGTGCTATTTCTGATGGGGTTGCATTGCATTTTTTGTTTGATGTTTAGGGAAATATCAATTTTATTTATTCATTCCCCTTGTAATAAAATTCATTCCTGGCATGCAGTGAATCAAGGTTTTAGCTAGGATTCTGAGAGTGGCCGTCC